ATCTGAGAGTCAGATCACTGTGCCGCCACGTGGGGGGGGGCCAGTACCACAGTATCTCGTACCCTAACCGCTGTATCGTGACCTCGTGATCGTATCGACACTCAGCCCTTGTACAGAGACTCTGATGTGCTCTGGACCAGTGGACCTCTGTCCTCACCCTCTGTGTCCACAGGAGGCCCAGGCCATGCAGGAGAAAGTCTCGGCCCAGTACAAGAATGAGATCGACATGGCCAAGGCTCAGAGAGACTACGAGCTGAAGAAGGCGGCCTACGACGTCGAGGTGAACACCAAGAAGGCGGAGTCAGAGATGGCCTATCAGCTGCAGGTACGCACGCAGGGGACGCGCCCGGAGCCAACGTTGGGACAGTGGAGTCTCGGGGGCAGCTTTTAACCCACGTCCTGTCGCGTCTCGTCCTCATCAGGTGGCGAAGACGAAGCAGCGAATCGAGGAGGAGAAGATGCAGGTGCAGGTGGTGGAGCGCACGCAGCAGATCATGCTGCAGGAGCAGGAGATCACACGCAGGGAGAAGGAGCTGGAGGCCAAGGTGAAGAAACCAGCGGAGGCCGAGCGCTACAGGCTGGAGAAACTGGCCGAGGCTCAGAGGTGAGGGTCAGGGGGGAGTCACTGTGGGACAGGGGTCAGAAGTGAGGGTCAGAGGTGAGTCACTGTGGGACGGGGTTCAGAGGTGAGTCACTGTGGGACAGGGGTCAGGGGGGAGTCACTGTGGGACGGAGGTCAGAGGTGAGGGTCAGGGGGGAGTCACTGTGGGACGAGGGTCAGGGGGGAGTCACTGTGGGACGAGGGTCAGGGGGGAGTCACTGTGGGACGAGGGTCAGGGGGGAGTCACTGTGGGACGGGGGTCAGGGGTGAGTCACTGAGGGACGGGGGTCAGAGGTGAGTCACTGTGGGACGGGGTCAGAGGGGAGTCACTGTGGGACGAGGGTCAGGGGGGAGTCACTGTGGGACAGGGGTCAGGGGGGAGTCACTGTGGGACAGGGGTCAGGGGGGAGTCACTGTGGGACAGGGGTCAGAGGTGAGTCACTGTGGGACAGGGGTCAGGGGGGAGTCACTGTGGGACGGGGTTCAGAGGTGAGGGTCAGGGGGGAGTCACTGTGGGACAGGGGTCAGGGGGGAGTCACTGTGGGACGGAGGTCAGAGGGAAGTCACTGTGGGACGGGGGTCAGGGGTGAGTCACTGAGGGACGGGGGTCAGAGGTGAGTCACTGTGGGACGGGGTCAGAGGGGAGTCACTGTGGGACGAGGGTCAGGGGGGAGTCACTGTGGGACGGGGGTCAGAGGGGAGTCACTGTGGGACGGAGGTCAGAGGTGAGGGTCAGGGGGGAGTCACTGTGGGACAGGGGTCAGGGGGGAGTCACTGTGGGACGGGGTTCAGAGGTGAGGGTCAGGGGGGAGTCACTGTGGGACAGGGGTCAGAAGTGAGGGTCAGAGGTGAGTCACTGTGGGACAGGGGTCAGGGGGGAGTCACTGTGGGACAGGGGTCAGGGGGGAGTCACTGTGGGACGAGGGTCAGGGGGGAGTCACTGTGGGACGGAGGTCAGAGGGAAGTCACTGTGGGACGGGGGTCAGAGGGGAGTCACTGTGGGACGGGGGTCAAAGGGCAGAGGTGGAGATCAGAGTCAAACACCTCTCTTCATTGTTTTTTCTCTGTTCAGGATGAAGTTGATCATGGAGGCCGAGGCTGAGGCCGAGTCCATCAGGGTGAGTCGCTGCCCTCTGCAGGCGGAACACCAGATAAAAACTAACTAACTCCGCTGTTGTCGACTCGTCACCTGAAACTGTTTCCTCCAATCGATCGTCGTCTTGTCTTCACCAGGTCAAAGGTGAAGCCGAGGCGTTTGCAGTGGAGGCCAAAGGTCGTGCTGAGGCGGAGCAGATGGCCAAGAAGGCGGAGGCGTTCCAGCAGTACAAGGATGGAGCCATGGTGGACATGCTGCTGGAGAAGCTGCCTCTGGTCAGACTGGTTTTTTTTTTTTAGTTTGGTTCTCAACCCCTGGTTTCCTGTGACATTTCCTGTCGTTCCTCAACTCAGATGGCAGAAGAGATCAGCAAACCTCTGTGTGAAGCCAAGAAGGTGACCATGGTGTGCAGCGGCGGCGCCGAGGTGGGCGCAGCCAAACTGTCGGGCGAGGTGCTGGACATCATGACCCGCCTCCCCGAGGCCGTGGAGAAGCTGACCGGAGTCAACATCTCCCAGGTGACGCCACCGACGCATGACCGCACAGTACTTCAGATAAGAAGTATAAATACTCACAGTATCTCTGCTCCTGATGTGTGACTGATGAGGGTCGTGAAAAATGTCTCCCCCTACAGGTGTCCTCTCGTACAGGCTGAAGAGAGTGGAGCAGCAGACCCTCAGTCTGGACTGTTTGTGAACTGCACTTCCTCCCTCGCCCTGCACCGAGCTGATCTCTGATCTCTGACCTCTGATCTTTGACCTCTGATCTCTGATCTCTGACCTCTGATCTTTGACCTCTGATCTCTGATCTCTGACCTCTGATCTTTGACCTCTGATCTCTGATCTCTGACCTCCTCTGATCTTCTGACCTCTGATCTCTGACCTCTGATCTCTGATCTCTGATCTCTCACCTCTGTGTCTCCGCCTCTGTAGAATCTCCTCAGTCTGATCTTAATCATCGTTAGGTTTTTAATTTAAATGTCCTTCTCAGGTCAGTGACTTTTCATGGAACGCCTCTTTATTCTTCTTGGCTGTTGATTCTAGACGGTTGATTGGCCATTTGTGCGACAAACCACATGGTCCGGACACGTAGGAATTCTCGTGCGGGGCTTGAATGTTGATCAGAATAATAATCGTCGTCGGTCGTCTCTCTGGTTCTGTTCGACTCCCTCACGTCACAGTGCTCAGATTCTGGCTGTTTGATTCTGACCAGGCTTTCACTTCGACCACACCGCCCCCTGCTGCCACACCTGAAGTGTGTCTTAACAAACACTCGTTCCCGACTTTCATTAATTTCACGCACGAGACTGCTGGAGGGTACGCTGCCCCCTGCTGGTTGTGTATCTTCAGTGTCTTTTAAGGCCACCCGTAGCAGCTCAGCTCTGAGCCGAGGTAACGTGTTGTCATCACTTTAGTGGCAGAGTAACTGTAACTGTAGTGTAACTGTAGTGTAACTGTAGTGTCTATCATCCACAGCAGTTACAGTCAGAGACCAGACCTGTTCTGGGACCAGAAATTTGCAGTTTCACAACGACAGGCTGTCGGTACGAAGCCACAGCGTCCTTTAATCATCTGGTCGACCATGTCACAGTTGACTGATTAAAAAAACGTACTTCTATATTTAAATGAAATCCAAACACACGTCATGATTGTGTCCATGCTGCTCCTCACCTCACTGCACTGCTGTCATTGGTTGATTGTTGTATTGAAGAAAGTTGTGTTCAATTGTGTTTCTTTCTTTTAAACATTTATTTTTTATTTATGTGAATTGATTTTCTAAACTGTTTTAATTCAGGATGATGAACTTTGAAGTGACACTACGTACAAATATAAAAGTATTTATTCAGTATATATTCCATATGTACTGCCAGTGTTGTTGTTGTTGTTGTTGTTGTTGTGTCTGTTACACTTCCAGACTGAGGTTCTGAGATAACGGTCTTTTTTTATATTTGTGTTGAAACGTGTTCTGTTCACAACACGAGGCGACACTGATGTTCCTGCTGCTGGTTCTGACTGTATTTAAACCAGAACTCCTCTGTCTGTGTTTGTCCATCGTTTTCATCTTCCGCTCTGGTTTTCTAACTGCATCAACGTGCATGACGGGGTTCTAGTGGAGACGATCTAAATAAAGTCTATCAGAACCAAAACATGAGAATGTGTCTTCACAGGGTCAGTGAGGTCAGAACCATTGAGAGATTCTTCTCTTGTCTTCTTTCTTCTTCTGTTGTTTTTGTTTGTTTGAGTCTAATCTTGTCACGGTCGTTTCTTCCTTTATTTATTATCTCTTCTCATGATTTTTTTAAACCTATTCAAATCTCATTCAATCTAAATGTTCATTTATTTCTCGTTTTCCCCCCGCTTTTTTGTTTAATTTTGATTCCATATTCGACTCGTGATCGATAAGAAACAATTTTGTATCTGATCTAGTAAAAACTAGCGCGCAAGTAATATTTTGATCAATCTTGAAATAATTTTGTGGCCATCACGAAAACACCGGAAAAGGGTTGACGTTTATGTCAAGTCAACTGTAAAGAGCCTCATAATCACCGGAAGGGAAAGAAGGAATCTTTCAAAACAAAAGAATGCGGTTTAAACGTCAACGTCTGGGTGTTGTTTTTACGGTGAACTTAAAAATATTAAGACACTCTGTTTAACATTAAACACCTGAAACCTCTTTTGTGTCTTGCATGATGTTTGAGTTTCCCTTTTCATTTATTGATTTTATCCAATAGTTTAGGTTGATTTCAAGACCTTTTACCGTAAATGAGGGTCGTTTATATAATTGTTAGTACCGTTTATAATTAGTGTAGTGTCCGTAATATTAGTTACGTGAAATATTTCTTGTCATTAATATAATTATTTAAGCATAACTGTTGCGTTGCAAATTATAACAAAACGACATATAAGTATATTGGGAAAATCAATATGGTTTGTGTCGTATTTTGTTGATCATATTGTTGAATTGTATATTGTATTGTATATGTAGTAATGGGAATGCATTTGTTTTGACAGGTGTGGTCGGAAACGCTCTTGTACGATGCAGGCTAGCTTGACCCTGGCGAGGGCTGTTAGGAAAAAAAAGGCGAAAAAAAACGAAGAAAAAAAGGCTGCTCCGCGGGGTTTGAGGGGCGGATTTGGACAAAGTTTCCCAACTGTCCCGAGCCGAGGAAGCTCCGGGGGGGTTGACGGGGAATCGCTTTGACCGGTAAATATTTTCTGACTTCTTATTCCGGTGTAAATGAAGTATTTTTCTTTCACTGTGTCTGAGAGCACCGTCGCCCGACTCGCCGGAAGTCTGCATGAAGCTGCGTCTCCCTCTCAAGCAACAGCGTCGACGTTTTTTTTTTTTTTTTTTTTTTTTTTGGTTTTTCGTTTTTTTTTTTTATTCGAGACTTTTTTTTCTGTTTTTTTATTTTTCTCTCCGCGAGATGAGTAGGGAGTGTGGAATGGAGGCGTAGGAAGCGCGGGTATTTGTGTTTACTCTGCGGAACATGAACACAGGCCTCGGTGAAGCTAAAGCGAAGCCGCGAACAAAAGGCACAAAATTAATGGAGGCGAGTTCGCTCGTTAGCTGTTCAGGCTAACAGGCTAGCGCTGCTATAGATCGACGTAAACCTAAAGCGTTAGCCATGTTTATGTGAGTGTCTGAGACAGTAAGGACTCAGTGTTGCACCGGCCAGTTTGATCAAATAAAAATATAAAAAGAAATGATTCCCCTTTTATTGACTGCTAACGTTAGCTCGAAGCTCAGAATGCCTCAGTTTTAGAGGCACTTTGTTACGAATGTGCGATTAAAAAAAACAAAACAACAAATATGACCGTTTCCGTCATAGAAATACAGTGTTTTATATAACAGTTTTCAAAAATGTGTAAAAATATACCATGAGTTAAGAAGTAAGTTTGACGATTTTAGACCAGAAAGATGGACATTTTTGGCATTGATGACATTTACCAATACATTAGGTCAGTGTCTTCTTTGACCAGTTAACTCGTCAAGTAAAGTTAAAGAGTTTAAAGGCGTTTACTACCCAGGAAATAAAAGAGATTAACTGAAATACTGTAATTGTATAGAGAATTAAATAGTTAATCATTATCAGTTAATTTTGCGCCGTTCTTGACAGAAAATATATAGAAAATATAATTTATTCTTATTATGAGTCGAGTCTTTTTCACTTTTATTTTACTGATAGATCCATATAGACCATACAGTGTGGGAATGAAGAAGTGTCCTTTACCTGATAACCCCTGAGATTGGCTCCGCCCCCTGTCGTGACCCTGTACATTGTATAAATGTATTAATAGTGTTTTGGTCAAAAGTCAGTTTCTCGGTTGTGCCTCCAATAAAAACCTGCCTCAGACCACTGACAGTGAAACTCTATCTTCCTCCATCTACCACAGTAGAGTTTGCAGGATTTTAGATGAACGGTCGGTTGATGGTGCTCCTTCGTGTATCTCCACGGTGTCTTCTCGCTGACACCCTAGAAACAAACATCAAACAGCCTATTGAAGGACGGGCGTGTGCCTGGTGCTCTGCATGAGTTACATCAACTCTGTTAGAGTTCTGCTCTCCGTGGGTCTGTGCAGCCGTCCCCACAGTGATTCAGATTTTTCATTCACCTCCAGCTCGCTTCACTAACGTGTAGGCAGCTGCATGTTTGCGTTGGTGTGCGAGTGAAATGCCTATATGTGCATGACGTACGTATGTAGTGTGCTGAGCGGTCTACACACATGCAGGCTCCATTCACTGCACTGTCTGCCAGTGTTCAGCTGCAGCAGTGGAGACACAAGTGCAGCTGCATGTCTGTGTTCTAAGACTTCACGTTTGTCCACGTGTGTCAGTGGGAGATGATGAAGGAAACACAGGGTCAGAGCTAAACACTGGGTGTGTTGATACGTTTAACACATGACATCGGATCGTCTCTCAAAACTCACATGTCATGACATGTTTGAGAAGGAACTAGTGCACTAGGGGTGTATATTGGCAAGAATACTGGAGACACCATACAAGGACAACGATACCACGTATTACGATTATACTGCGATGCTATAAACATTACGAATATATTGAGGTTTCTTTTCTTTTCAACAATGTAGCTGTAGTCCCAGTGTGATCCTAGTCTCAGACTCTGCCCCCCCCCAGTGTGATCCTAGTCTCAGACTCTGCCCCCCCCAGTGTGATCCTAGTGTCAGGCTCTGCCCCCCCCAGTGTGATCCTAGTGTCAGGCTCTGCCCCCCCCAGTGTGATCCTAGTGTCAGGCTCTGCCCCCCCCAGTGTGATCCTAGTGTCAGGCTCTGCCCCCCCCAGTGTGATCCTAGTGTCAGGCTCTGCCCCCCCCAGTGTGATCCTAGTGTCAGGCTCTGCCCCCCCCAGTGTGATCCTAGTCCCAGACTCTGCCCCCCCCCAGTGTGATCCTAGTCCCAGACTCTGCCCCCCCCCCCCCCTCCTCCACCTCCACACCCTCCTTTCTTCTCTC